GTAATAGATCGATCAGTCGATCTTGAAAAAAAAATCAACAGGCTAAGTAAAAAATTAACCAATTGTTCATTATTGATCAGAATCACTAATAAGGCCTATTATATTTCATTCTAGGATTTTGATATCCTCTATGACTATAATGAGGTTTTGGATTATGAAAGTATTTGTTACTTGGGTTATAAACTCTATGAATTTGTGAATGATGATATCTATTAATCTCAAAATTTCCCTTTATATCAGAAGTCATATGATGTGAATCATGTCTATTATTTCGAAGAGGATAATCTTGTTGAATATTGACTCTTTTTTCATTATTGAAATTACTATCATAGCTATCACTTCTTAAAGGTTTATCATCTCGAAGATAATCAATATTTCTTTGATGATACCTTGGATTTCTTTGATAATCAATATCCCTTTGATAATTCTCATGGTAATGTATAGGATGATCATTGTTATTAAATCTTCTATTATGCTCATCATAAAATCGAGTTCCCACATTCTTATACTTATCTCTGGGAAAATAACTATGACGTCGAGCTGGAATAAAACTTCCAGGTTTATGCACGCGATAATCATCTATTGGTGGTCTTGTATCATCATATTTATATTTTCTATAATTATAATTATAAAATCCTATATTATCCCTTGGCTTATAATCATGTTTGTATTGATCCTCATATGACAAATTTTTTGTAAATTTATTTTCCATAGAATTCTTTTGAATAGTATTTAATCCATTATCACCATTGTCACCATTAATTGACATCTTGTCATCCAATAAACTCATTGCTTCTGATGGAATGAATGAAGATATATCCAGAGAAAATTGTTTTTTATCGGTATTATTATTGGAAGTTGTAGAAGGATTTGTTAACGTAGTAGAAGAAATTGAAGTAGCAGCAGGAGTAGTGTTTTGTTGACTATTATCAAGTTCCATGGGATCTATATCCGTACCCGATCTGGATTTAGGAACCGAGATAAGATTATGATTGTTAGAAGATTGATGTGAAGATTCAGGTAGAGTTGATTCAGAATTTGGTAAATTATTTATAAAAGATGACGACGACGACGAAAATCGATCCGTGTGTTGAGTTGAACTATCGCCCACAGAAGTAGAATCTCTGTCTCTAAGATAACGATCAGAAAATTTTGGAGATGAATCAGAAAATTTTGAAGATGGATCAGAAAATTTTGGAGGTGGATCGGAAAATTTTGAAGATGGATCAGAGAATTTTGGAGATGAATCAGAAAATTTTGGATACGTATAATCATTTTTCCAAACTTTGTGAGAATATGTAGGATTAAAACTTTTTATTTCACTACGAAAAGGTGGAAACACTCTATGATATCTGTTATCATATGGTCGTATCTTTCTATATGGTCGAGGTTTAATAATTGATCTTCTGTAATAATGACTTGAATAACTTGGATAATCAACGTTTCTCTCCATGATAGGCTTCGATCTTGGACTGTAATATGAATACTTAGATCGACCACCCCAAGATGTAGAACTTGAAGGAGAAGTTGGTAAATGTCTATGATCATCAAAATTTGAGATTTTATTCTTATCAGGACTCGGGAGTGGGTCATCATCGTCATCGTCGTCATCATCATCATCATCATAATCGTCATCATCATTACGTTCATCTTTATCATTAACTTCTAGTTGATTTGATTGTAATGAGCTTGACAAATCTGAAGGTTGCGTAGTTTGCTTTCCAGAAATGCATTCCATAGAAAGAATATCTTTTTTTGCAGTAAATTTTTTTTGATTAAACTTGAATGCTTTGAATTGCTTTGATAGTATGTCGGGTTGAACAGAATCATCATTGTTTTTAATCGAAGTGTCTAAAATAGTAGCATCATT